TCTTCTGCGCCCCTCTCCCCTCCGTCCCCTGCCTCTCTCCCCTCTTGTCACCCCGCCCTCTCCCCTCTCCGTCACCCGTCTCCCCTCCCCCCTCCCCTCCTCCTCCCCCCCTAGCGGCCTGTATGAGCTGCACCGACTGCCCCGGGAGGCCGCTGCCGAGTGGTTCGCTGCGCGGAGGGCGGCGGACGGCATCGCCTCCTCCACTCAGAAGCGGGCGGGTCGGAGCAGTCTGAGGGAGCGAGACAGGGACCTGCAGGTGGGGGGGGATTGGGGGGGGGAGGGGGGCTGGGGGGAGGGGACTGGGGGAGGGGGCGGGGGGGAGGGAGGCCGCGTCTCGCGCTTGCGCTTGCGCTTGCACTCGCTCTCGCTTGTCTCTTGCATAGAAGAGGGGAAGGCGAGTGGGGCAGGGTGAGGAGAGGACTGGAGGCTGCAAGGGGACTGCGAGTAGGAGGCCCTCACCCTCAGTCTCGCTCACACAGAAAAGAGACCCGCAACGCACCGCACCTCGTCTGGTCAAGCATGCTGCTGCGGCATACCGAAACCCTAAAACCCTTAAACCCTGAATTTTCTTCACAATACCAGACATCCGACCTAACCCAATCATCAAATCGCCTTTCTGATGTCCGCCACTTGCTTTGAACTGATTCCCCCGATGCGAATGTCAGCTGGCTGTCAGCCTGCCCGGTGGGGCCGCTCGTCATTGCGTGTGTGCGGTTCAGTTCGCGGTACACCCCTCCTCGCCCGTCGTGTTGCCTGGGCGTGTTGCAGGGAGCCTTCGGCGGCTCCGAGGCCGGGGACGACGGCGACGACAACGCCGGCATCCCGTCCTCCTCCTCCTCCTCTGCTGCCGCTGCTGCCGGGGGTCCCTCGGGCTCCGGAACCGGTCCCGTCAGTTTGTTGTCACAATTGGGGGCGGCCGCCGCTGAGGAGGCCGACCAGACCAAGGTACGCTGGGGCTGAGGGGTGGGGTTAGGGGTTCGAAACCTGGGGTCCTGGGGTCGGGTCCTGGGGTCGGGTCCTGGGGTCGGGAGAATGGGTGAAGGAGGGAAGGGAGAGGTGCGAGCCGCAGCGAAGGGACGCAGGCGACGGTTACGAGATGGGAGGGTCGACGAGAGGTGTGTGGGGTCTTGGGGTGGTGCGGAGGAGATGCGCTTTGCTTGCTTTTGCTCGTGCGCCGGCGAGGCAGGAGCAGAGCGCCTGTTTCGATTTCCCCAAGTTGCCCCATGTCTCTGGGCTGGCGCTCCCCGCTGTGCGCCCGCTGGCTGACTCCCCGCCCCGCCCCGCCACCTGCCACCCACCACCCGCTACTGCCCCTCGTCCGCCGTGTCCCGCCCCGGCCATACCCCCACCTGCCCCTGGCCCCTGCCCCCGACTCACTCCACTCCCTCCCGCCCCACTCCCCTCCCTCCCCATTCCCCTCCCTCCCCACTCCCCACTCTCCTCAACCCCACTCCTGTCCTCCACACCCACTCAATCCCACTCCTCCACACCCACTCACACCCACGCCCTCTCCTCCCAGGTGGTGACGCTGAGCCGTCGCGAGATGGCTGCTCTGCGCTCCTCCCTGCCCAGCCCCAACAAACACAAGGGCCGTCAGATGGCGGAGAAGATGATCATCAAGACGGGTGGGTGGCGGGCAGGCTTGAGCGGCTGAGAGGCTGCGTCGGGGTTAGGGAGGGGTAGGGTCAGTGAAGGGCAAGGGCGAGCGGGCAGGGACGTCTCTGCCTGTCTGCCCTTCACTCGGCGGCGGTGCGTGTGCTGCCCTCCTCCCGCCATTGGCTGACGTCCGGCCTCCCTCCCATTCCCCCTGGAGCTCTGCCCCCCCCCCGGGTGCTCACATCTCACCACCACACCGCTGCGCTCTCATCTTCAGCAACACCACCCCGTGATCCACCCCGACCTCCCCACACCCAACCAGCAACCAACTACCCTCGACCCGATAGCCACCCTGACGCAAACCCAAGTCAACCCAAATCAACCCAGATCCCGAACCAACCCAGATCCTGGACCCCCATTCGCTCCGCCATCACTCGCTCCGAAACCCCCCCTCCCGCCCCCCCCCCTCGCAGCTCCCGGTGCCGCAGCCACCCAGATTGGCAACGTGCAGTACGTACAGGAGGTTCCTGTCGTACAGGCGAGCGACCGGATGCGTGCGTCCTGGCGCCACCGGGCGTCCTCCGCCTCCTCCGCAACGGCGGCCGGAGACGGCGGCGGCGGCGGCGAGTCCGGGGCGGCGGCGACGGGGGGGCCCGGGCGGCGGCTGCGCCTGCGGGCGCGGGGCGGTGCCGGCGGCGGGCGGCGCAGCGGCGGTGCGGAGGCGGGTGTTGGCGAGGAGCGGGACGAGGAGAAGTAGACGAATGTGGCTGTCTCCTGTACCGACCAACCTGTCCTGAAGGAGCAGCGGGTGGTGGCGGCGGCGGTGGTGGTGGTGGTGGCGGTGTCAATCCCGCGGTGTGAGGGTGCATGGCTCGTGGCGGCGGGCGGAGGAGCCTTGGCCAGTGTGGGTTTTGCTTTGCTTTGCTGTCCTTTGCATTTCCTCTGACGGAGCTGAACGGAGCGGAGCGGGTCGGGTCGGATGTGTCTGGTCCTGTGCCGGAGCCGTGATGCCGCCGTTGGGTCGTTTGCAGTTTACAGGTCGGTCCGTGTTCGTTTCCCGAGGGCTTTACCGGAGGGACGCATTTCAGAGCGGCAGTCCTACCTCGCAATGGTGGCGGCCGCAGCAGTAGCGGTGACGGCGGCGGCTGCCCGTGTCGCGGTCCCCGGGGCCCGGGCGGTCCGTCCGTCCCTGGAGCTTGGCAGCGCAGGAGAGTGTGGCGCAGGAGGGAGTGGCGAGTGGGTGGGCCGCATTGATGCAAGCGGCGAGCGAGACGCGTTGGACTGGGCTGGGTTGGGCTGGGCCGGGCTGCACGGCGGCAGCCTCACTCGGGGCCCCCATCCTTCACGCCGTCCACTGGGCTGTATCACACACAGCGTACCGGTATGCTCTCAAATAAGGAAGGGCCCCCGCTAAAGCCGGACATCTGGCATCACAAGGGCTTACCGCACCTTCATCATTGTCGGGCCCAGCGGCTGCGGAGCGAGCCTCCACTCTAGAGCTGTGCAGCGGAAGGGGGGGCAGTGCTTTGGTTGGCCCGCTGCTGTTGGTGCTGCTGCCGCTGTGTTACTTGAGCCTTCCAGCCTCCAACCAGCGCTCAGAGGGGTGTCTTGGGGTATCGAAGCCCTCCGACTCCAGAACTGCATTTACCGATTCGGTCGCTATGTCCTGGCGAGGCATGTGCAGATTATGTGTACGGCTCGGCTAGCTCAGTAGGTAGCTGAAGAGCGTACGGCAGTTTCGTGTAACATCATCATCTCAAAGATGGCCATCAAGTGTACGGGGTCGTAGCTCAAATGGTAGAGCGCCCGCTTAGCATGCGAAGCTGAGCGCCGCAGTACACACGCGCACGTACACACGCACACGTGCACACGCACACGTACACACGCACACGTACACACGCACACGTACACACGCACGTGTACACACGCACACGTACACACGCACACGTACACACGCACACGTACACACGCACACGTACACACGCACACGTACACACGCACGTGTACCCACGCACGTGTACACACGCACACGTACACACGCACACGTACACACGCACACGTACACACGCACACGTACACACGCACACGCGCACACGCACACGTACACACGCACACGTACACACGCACACGTACACGCGCACACGTACAAACGCACACGTACACACGCACACGTACACACGCACACGTACACACGCACACGTACACACGCACACGTACACACGCACACGTACACACGCACACGTACACACGCACACGTACACACGCACACGTACACACGCACACGTACACACGCACACGTACACACGCACGTGTACACACGCACACGCACACACGCACACGTACACACGCACACGTACACACGCACACGTACACACGCACACGTACACACGCACACGTACACACGCACACGTACACACGCACACGTACACACGCACACGTACACACGCACACGTACACACGCACACGTACACACGCACACGTACACACGCACGTGTACACACGCACACGCACACACGCACACGTACACACGCACACGTACACACGCACGTGTACACACGCACACGTACACACGCACACGTACACACGCACACGTACACACGCACGTGTACACACGCACACGTACACACGCACACGTACACACGCACACGTACACACGCACACGTACACACGCACACGTACACACGCACGTGTACCCACGCACGTGTACACACGCACACGTACACACGCACACGTACACACGCACACGTACACGCGCACACGCGCACACGCACACGTACACACGCACACGTACACACGCACACGTACACGCGCACACGTACAAACGCACACGTACACACGCACACGTACACACGCACACGTACACACGCACACGTACACACGCACACGTACACACGCACACGTACACACGCACACGTACACACGCACACGTACACACGCACACGTACACACGCACACGTACACACGCACGTGTACACACGCACACGTACACACGCACACGTACACACGCACACGTACACACGCACACGTACACACGCACACGTACACACGCACACGTACACACGCACACGTACACACGCACACGTACACACGCACACGTACACACGCACACGTACACACGCACACGTACACACGCACACGTACACACGCACGTGTACACACGCACACGCACACAAACACGTGTACACACGCACACGTACACACGCACGTGTACACACGCACACGTACACACGCACGTGTACACACGCACACGTACACACGCACACGTACACACGCACACGTACACACGCACACGTACACACGCACACGTACACACGCACACGTACACACGCACACGTACACACGCACACGTACACACGCACGTGTACACACTTACGCATCATCTCAAAGGTGGCCATCAAGTGTACGGGGTCGTAGCTCAAATGGTAGAGCGCCCGCTTAGCATGCGAAGCTGAGCGCCGCAGTACAAACTTGCGGGAGGTAGGGGGATTGATGCCCTCCGACTCCAGAACTGCATTGAACGATTTGCTCGCTATGTCCTGTCGAGGCATGTGCAGATTATGTGTACGGCTCGGCTAGCTCAGTCGGTAGCTGAAGAGCGTACGGCAGTTTCGTGTAACATCATCATCTCAATTATCGGCCATCAAGTGTACGGGGTCGTAGCTCAAATGGTAGAGCGCCCGCTTAGCATGCGAAGCTGAGCGCCGCAGTACACACGCGCACGTACACACGCACACGTGCACACGCACACGTACACACGCACACGTACACACGCACACGTACACACGCACGTGTACACACGCACACGTACACACGCACACGTACACACGCACACGTACACACGCACACGTACACACGCACACGTACACACGCACGTGTACCCACGCACGTGTACACACGCACACGTACACACGCACACGTACACACGCACACGTACACACGCACACGTACACACGCACACGCGCACACGCACACGTACACACGCACACGTACACACGCACACGTACACGCGCACACGTACAAACGCACACGTACACACGCACACGTACACACGCACACGTACACACGCACACGTACACACGCACACGTACACACGCACACGTACACACGCACACGTACACACGCACACGTACACACGCACACGTACACACGCACACGTACACACGCACACGTACACACGCACGAGTACACACGCACACGCACACACGCACACGTACACACGCACACGTACACACGCACACGTACACACGCACACGTACACACGCACACGTACACACGCACACGTACACACGCACACGTACACACGCACACGTACACACGCACACGTACACACGCACACGTACACACGCACGTGTACACACGCACACGCACACACGCACACGTACACACGCACACGTACACACGCACGTGTACACACGCACACGTACACACGCACACGTACACACGCACACGTACACACGCACGTGTACACACGCACACGTACACACGCACACGTACACACGCACACGTACACACGCACACGTACACACGCACACGTACACACGCACGTGTACCCACGCACGTGTACACACGCACACGTACACACGCACACGTACACACGCACACGTACACGCGCACACGCGCACACGCACACGTACACACGCACACGTACACACGCACACGTACACGCGCACACGTACAAACGCACACGTACACACGCACACGTACACACGCACACGTACACACGCACACGTACACACGCACACGTACACACGCACACGTACACACGCACACGTACACACGCACACGTACACACGCACACGTACACACGCACACGTACACACGCACGTGTACACACGCACACGTACACACGCACACGTACACACGCACACGTACACACGCACACGTACACACGCACACGTACACACGCACACGTACACACGCACACGTACACACGCACACGTACACACGCACACGTACACACGCACACGTACACACGCACACGTACACACGCACACGTACACACGCACGTGTACACACGCACACGCACACAAACACGTGTACACACGCACACGTACACACGCACGTGTACACACGCACACGTACACACGCACGTGTACACACGCACACGTACACACGCACACGTACACACGCACACGTACACACGCACACGTACACACGCACACGTACACACGCACACGTACACACGCACGTGTACACACTTACGCATCATCTCAAAGGTGGCCATCAAGTGTACGGGGTCGTAGCTCAAATGGTAGAGCGCCCGCTTAGCATGCGAAGCTGAGCGCCGCAGTACAAACTTGCGGGAGGTAGGGGGATTGATGCCCTCCGACTCCAGAACTGCATTGAACGATTTGCTCGCTATGTCCTGTCGAGGCATGTGCAGATTATGTGTACGGCTCGGCTAGCTCAGTCGGTAGCTGAAGAGCGTACGGCAGTTTCGTGTAACATCATCATCTCAATTATCGGCCATCAAGTGTACGGGGTCGTAGCTCAAATGGTAGAGCGCCCGCTTAGCATGCGAAGCTGAGCGCCGCAGTATAAACTTGCGGGAGGTAGGGGGATCGATGCCCTCCGACTCCAGAACTGCATTGAACGATTCGCTCGCTATGTCCTGTCGAGGCATGTGCAGATTATGTGTACGGCTCGGCTAGCTCAGTCGGTAGCTGAAGAGCTTACGGCAGTTTCGTGTAACATCATCATCTCAATTATTGGCCATCAAGTGTACGGGGTCGTAGCTCAAATGGTAGAGCGCCCGCTTAGCATGCGAAGCTGAGCGCCGCAGTACAAACTTGCGGGAGGTAGGGGGATCGATGCCCTCCGACTCCAAAACTTCATTGAACGATTTGCTCGCTATGTCCTGTCGAGGCATGTGCAGATTATGTGTACGGCTCGGCTAGCTCAGTCGGTAGCTGAAGAGCGTACGGCAGTTTCGTGTAACATCATCATCTCAATTATTGGCCATCAAGTGTACGGGGTCGTAGCTCAAATGGTAGAGCGCCCGCTTAGCATGCGAAGCTGAGCGCCGCAGTACAAACATGCGGGAGGTAGGGGGATCACACCCTTCATCATTAACTACCCGATCGTCGGGACCCTTAGGGTTCAGCATCGCCACCAATCAAGTGTGCCAATCGTATCTAGCGTAACAACTGCGACCTCAATTCTACTAAGAATCTGGACAGCTAAAATAAACTCATGTAGCCACTTGCACCGTGTCCACAGCTCTATTCTACAAGGCAGTCAGCAGCATCCCACTGGCTGCTTGTGAAGCTCACTGCCGATTACAAGGCCAAGAAACCGGCACCTAGCTGCTGCTGCTGCATGCTGATGCTGCTCCTGATAGATCCGATGCTTCAGCAATCCCTTACTCTGCAATGCGCCGCCGCTTCCTGCTCTTGCTGCGCTGCGTGCAGAGGTGCCGGTGGTACACGATGACTTGCTGGCCCGTTCACGTTTTCCAGGAATGCCGCCATTGCAATCTTGAACTGGCCACTGCGTGTATATCATGCACACAGCCATGCACATACATACATACATACATACACGTGGAGACACGCATACCGATAGAGAAGGTAGGACGGAGGTAGGGGTGGGGTAAGCAAGGTAACCCTCAATCAAGCCCTTCGTTTCATGCACCAACCAGGTTATTGCAACCAGGACGACAAGATGTGTGGACTCTCGGCTGTATATTTAGTCTCTATCGATCTTGCGTGGATGGCATTGAAAACTCTCTCTCCCCTGCTCTGTCCTCAGTGCTGTCTTCCACATACTTGATTGATTGCCCAGTGCTCACACAAGCGAGTACGTAAGCGAGCGAGCAAGCACTTGCTTGCACACATGCTTGCATGCATGCAGACTCTCGAACACCCACCCACACACCGACCTGCATGTGGGGACCAGATGTGCACCTCCATGGGTGTACGATGACACAGTGGGTGGATTGAAGCATTCCCACAGCTTGGCGGTGCTCTCGGGGGGAACCTGGGATGGTACGGTAGATGCAAGGCAGGCATCAAGCGAGCGATGATGACGGCGGGACCACCCCGACATGCATGCAGACACGCAGTACCATATATATGCACATATATACTCGCTGTCGGTTGATCCAGCATATATAGAAATCAAAAAACAAGGCCATACGTGGAGTACAGATATCCCAGCGGTTGTATGTAGGTAAACGAGCGAGACAGGTGACAACGACGGAGCTGGACCCGTCCATCAATCGGTGGAAGCTGGAACATGGAACATAGACATCAAAACATGGATTTGGAACAATGCACAGGTGTGTGCTATGAATAATTGCCTTCGTGGCCAATATCTACACGCACCCACCGACGTACGCATACGTACCAGCGTGTCTGATGTTCCTGTCACGAAGAGCAATGGCACTGTGTTTCTGCGGCCGCCATCTTGCAACAGTGCTGCTGCTGCAGGGTCACGAGGGAGGAAGCCAGCCACCTGCAGGCAGGCAGGCATGCTCAGCAGCAGTGTGTAGGTATATGCATACCGGCAGCAGCATCAGGCCGCAGCAGGTAGATATCTAGCTAAGTGAGGGTGGCGCGCGCGCGTACATACATACATCACGAGGGCCAGCGCCGGCTTTTCAGATCACTGTGCTTGTTTACGTACGTGTACTTGCACATACATACATATATGTACATACCAGGATGGAACACTTGAGGCGATATGATGATGCCTCTTGCGTAGAGGCGGCACTTGTGCCGCTGTCAGCCTCCTCCTCGGCAGCCTTGGCGGCCAAGTGAGACAACAGCAGCGCCGCTGCGGTGGCACCCTGGCTGAATCCCAACAGTCCTGCGGGTAATAAGCGAGATATATAATAAGCACCTACATTATGGCTGGGTAGCTATGTACCGGAAATGCATGCACGCCGGCCGGAGATGGAATCATCAGAGAACGAAGCAGCATTAAGCATGTATGCAGCCCTAAATGAATGTGGTCTTCGAAAATCGCGCACCCCACGGCTTCCTGGAAAGAAGTATTCCGGAGTCGTGCAACCCTACCTACTGGGATTATTAGTGAATTTCGTTAGTTGAAGTCGTTTTTCACGTCGCCACCGCTCTCCCCATCACTGTCCATGTCGTCTCCGCCACTCTATATACACCTCCCCTGCCACTGCCACCACATTCCCCATGCATCTCTAACCCAGTCCGTCGGTCGTCAGCATCATGCCATCATCCCCCTCCGTCACGGGCCCCTGCCCGCTGCTGCCGCGCGCCCTCGCTAGCTGTCTCTCACTGCATGCCCCATTGGCCAACGAACCAACCACATCAACCGGACTATCTCACCATCTGGCTGGTGCTCCCGCAGAGCCGCCAACAGAGAGGATTGGGCCACCTCCCAACCTGAAGGAAGCTCACGTCACACGCATGCAGGGCAGCAGTGGAGACGTATCATCATGTATGCATGTGTGCATTAAACCGGAACGGGAGGAAAACCGTCTGTCTGTGAATTGTTAGTTTGTGCGCATCGATCGATACATGCAGTGTC